GCTACCTGAGGATGTCGGCGCAGGCTGGTGGGCAGAGGTAAGACAAGTGGGATCGCCAGCCCTAACTGATGAGCCCACAACGTGAGTATTGGTAATGGTGTAGGCAATGGAGAAGATAAAATACGTGACGCGAGGGGCGTCAGAAGTAGCCAATTTTCGCTTGCCCGCCCTGCAGTACGCAGCAAGTAAGGCGCCGCGGCTGACAACACCACTGCGAGACCGCCCTATCAGGCCGGGAACCTTTTATTGTCCAAGTCTCTGTTATTCGATATCCCAAAATGGTAGGTTGGCGCTACTCTATGAGGGGTCTCCACCAGAGCGTGAAGAGTCGATATAGCAGCCTCCTTTGCGGGGACTCGGCCACGTGGTTCTCGTATTCTGTTCAACTGAAAAGAGGGATTTTTCTATGCCTAGTTCCGAACGACCTGTATAGAAGTAGATAATCATCACAAAAAGACGAGGAGAAAAAAGCAGGAATTTCGTGCCCCCAATTCTGGGTTAGATTCCGCGAACATCCCGTGAGCTTGGCTGAACATAGGCTGCGTTATGTCCAGAATGTTTTTTTCGTAGGTGCAGGTAAATTATGGTAGTTGTATTGATGTAGCCAATCGCCTTGCTTTTCGCCGAGACGTTTCTTTTCGCGTGACATCTAATCACCAGTGTCCAGTTATGTTTTTGTTGTAGTTGGTGTTACTGTTGTTCATAATTGCAATACCTTTCGTTTCAGATGAATATTGAAGCTCATGAAAATCGTGTTGGACCAGAAACGGAAGGCGTTTATGATGACAGCTTCTTCGAATCCCTGGACGGTGTTGCAAACGCATTAGATAATGTGGAGGCACGTACCTACATGGATCGTCGTTGTGTCTATTACCGAAAGTCCCTCTTAGAGTCTGGGACACTTGGAACAAAAGGCAACGTCCAGGTCGTCATTCCATACCTCACTGAATCGTATTCGTCTTCACAGGTAGATGAAACTTGGTGTGTTCGTGTCTACGGGAAACGCGGTGAAATTTTTTATGCGTGACAGCCAGTATACCCGCACAGCGTCTCATCTTTTCAAACACAGTATCATTTCTTTCAAACAGGCTCTGAATCGCAACTGGTATTCACATCTCCAACGCTCATGTTTATTCAGNCGCGCAGCGCCTCACCTTATCAAATACGGTATCGTTTCCCTCAAACAGGCTCTAAATCGCTACTGGTATTCACATTTCCAACGCTCATGTTCATTTAGGTGAACTCAGACTGAGGGATCCTTCTATGGACTGAAAGATGTCATATGCTATTTTTGTTTCCCATACCTCAATACTTTCCTAGGACGTAAGGAGGAAGAAAAAAAGAATGGCGTGATGCGAACCGTTTCCAACAACCGTTTATTCCTGTTGAGATTATATGGAAACCTGTTGAGGATAAGTTATTGCTAACTCAATGTTGAGTTTCACTGATCGGGAGGGACGACCGAATTACCCTTGGACGAGAGGAATAGCTTATCGGAAAGGAAGGTAGGGACTGGGACTGATCGCCTTCCAAGTTGCGAGCCTGATTTCGGCTCACGAGCGGCAGATATCAAACGGCTTTAGGTTGACCGATGTAGACTCAATTGCAAACTTAGATTAAATCAGCCTTCGCCCTACTTTCCCTCGCTATCCTTGTCCATTTAAACCAGGTAGTTTCTATAAGATTCGTACGTTCAGTAAACCAAAAGAAAAATAAAACGACGGAAACAATCATCCATGTCCTGGAGATTGTGCTGCCTGTTTCCAAAGCGACTGCTTATCGGATCGGATGATCGTTGATTTCCCGGGGTCGCGCTCCTGGGAAATGGGAGCCTGGATATTTTCGCCATGGGTTTTTCCGCGGAATCGTTCCATACACCGTGGTTTATCTTCGTGGAAATACGTTGTTTGTGTGTTCCACCAGATTTCGGTGTGCGTCCGTACGAGTTTATGCATTACGCTTTTTCAGCGTTTTTATGTGCAATGAGATTGAGGAGGGTGAAATGGCGATATCCTATATAACCACCGCTTTTTCTTAATGTATCAGGGGACGGGCTGAAATTGAGTGAGAGCTTCTCTCTAGATTACATTCACGTGAGGCGACTGGTGTAATCGTTTTCACTGATTCCCTTTAATTGTATTACTTGATTTTCAGGATCCTCCAGAAAAATCATTCCCCGCGTGCACCCTAAAGAACTTCCCTTACTTGATTGAACATACTCTACAGTGGGCCAGGGATCTTTTCGAAGGCTTATTTGCACAACAGTCACAAAGCATAGCCTCCTACATTCATGTGAGTTCTTAACCATTGTCTGCGTTCACCTTTTGAATCGCTAATCCCCTTTCGGTGAATACTGAAATCGTTTGACAAACCGTTTCTTGTGTACCAGTGATACCATGCTTACAAAACCAAGTGCTATAAATAAAGTCAACTGCTTCCGGAAGTGAAAAATAGCTAGGCGGTTGGGACAACAGGACGTGTCGCCTACCGGAAATACCACAGCATAAGAGAAGTAACAAATGATANTGCGATCAGCACACAGCTGAAGCAATCGTTCACGATTGTCTGTACATACCGAGTCCAGTCCATGTCGACCTAATTGGGTCTCAGATGCACTAAGCCTGCTCACTTGCGCATTCGTGTCTCCGGCAACCACCATAATGTCTGAGCTTTTAGCTCGCCGCAGCAGGGCATTCAGGGC